TTTTCAACCAACCGTCACATTACCGTTAATGTACAGTTATAACTTTAAAAGATATAAAGTCGCATATTTTGAAAGACTGGTTGCGAAAGTATCCCGCTAGTAACAAAAGACTCGGGTAAACATTGTTCACTTTTAATTACGACTTGAAATGATGCAAGACGCTGGTACAAGTGTGGCTGTGTTACATGGAAGTCAATTTGACTGTACTTTCTTCTTCTCTACATGTACACTAGTTCCGATTCCAGTGACTCCTAGGTCTGTTTACTGACTAATATACTTGTTCTAACTGACTGATATACATTTTCTATTCCCTATGAGTATATCGCCAGTAACTTAGAGGCTTTTATGAGGACTGTTTAATAGAATGTGGACTGTATAGCAAAGAGAGAAATGAACCGTATAGGTTTGTACAGAACCGATTTCCCTATTTCATACACTTTACCACTGTAGAAAGATTAGTAGTACTAATGCAACACGCACACAATTCTTTAGGGATAGGCGGAAGGCACACGGCCGCGGGGACGTCCCCGTCGGTTATGGATCACTCTCACTCACTCACTCACTCACTCGCTCACTCACTCACTCACTCACTCACTCTGAGTAAGTGAGTGAGTGAGTGAGTGAGTGAGAGTGATCCATAACCGACGGGGACGTCCCCGCGGCCGTGCTCCTTCCGCTTATCCCTGAAGAATTGTGTGCGTGTTGCATTAGCACTACTAATTTTTCTACAGTGCTTAAGTGTATGAAATAGGGAAATCGGTTCTGTACAAACCTATACGGTTCATTTCTCTCTTTGCTATACAGTCCACATTCTATTAAACAGTCCTCATAAAAACCTCTAAGTTACTGGCGATATACTCATGGGGAATAGAACATGTATATCAGTCAGTTAGAACAAGTATATTAGTCAGTAAACAGATCTAGGAGGCACTGGAATCTGAACTAGTGTACATGTCGAGAAGAAGAAAGTACAGTCAAATTGACTTCCACTCACTCACTCACTTACTCACAGCGTGAGTGACAAACCTTCCATCGGAAACATATCTGTGCTTTTATTTATCAAATCGATACAACTGAAAAGCGAGGAGAAATTGAAATAGTACAAAGGTAGATTTATTTTGTATTTGTTAACTGTATCTGTCATGTTTTGTTGTGACCTATACTTAGCCCAGAGTGGCAATCGTCATTCATTCAATAACGTGTTCTCTCATTCAATTTGCGAATATTTCACATCCAGGCATCTTGTTTTTTTCGCTCTCTCTATTAGATTTAGGGTCTCCAGAGGACGTCATCCATAAGATTACTTACTGTGGCCCTACAATTGTTGCAGGCACCAAGACTACGACCCCCAGTGTCTACACCGGTGAAGGCGGTGTGAAGTCGCGCTACCTGGCGACATGGTGAGGAGTGACAAGAGGTGAGGCGAGCGTTGGTATTCCTTGTCTACATAATCTACAGTTTACATGAAATATAACAGTACAAAATGATAAGGTACATATTCCATAACGTGTACACGGTAACAAGAATTAATAGATAGTTCTGTACAGAACACTCATTGTTACTCTTCTATTTCCTATTTTTCAGCTCTGAGTGATTGTACCGGAAGTTATAACCCTTTCCGTGCAGGATACCACCTGCACCGGAAATACTTTTCATGTGCCTCAGCGTGTAGGCTTTATCACACGGATAAAACGGATATGTCATCTTTTCGAGGTAATGACAGAGAAGCACCTGCAAACTGCTACTGAAATCCGGGTTATAGTGTCTTCTGGGATTCAGTTCTTCGTTAAAGGGGCACTATATATTAGTATGCCAAAAAGCAGTTACTCAAGCAACTGGATATGATTTTGAAATCATATCCAGTTGCTTGAGTAACTGCTTTTCGGCGTATCGTATTACCTGGATGTCTAACCTTCATCGACGTATATATCAGTATGTTTTTACAAAAAATATTGATGTTGAAAAGTCTTCATGTGATTGTCGTTTATGTTCCATGTTGTATATTTGAGCAATTATTTCACATTTCCAACATTTATGGTTGATCATAAAACAGCCCACTCCAGGCGCACTCATTTTGTGTCCAGAATGACCAGAAAATGGAAATGGACTATGTGAATTGTCCTGATGTTATAAAATACTGTTTTGATACATTGAAACGTATTCAACGGTTCTCTGTATCTGTCCTTCAGTGTAATACACCAGCTATTGTTTTAGATATGTTTTGACTTGACCAGTTGTCCACTATGTTTGTATAATGTATCGTCTGTATGTACATGTATGAATACCAGGAAGACTAGCGGTGGACCCTAGGGTCCACCGCTAATGGTTATTCTAATAAAGTTTCAAAGTTTCAAAGTTTCAAAGCTATGAGGTGATTATACTAAAATATAGAGTAAACTAAGAAATGTACTTACCTATAACATCGGAGTTGGTCCCAAATTAAACTTAGTGTGGTTGTGTTTTTTTCTGCATCAACAAGGCGTTTTGTACCTTTCCGTTACGAATTGCTTGCAATAAAAATGATTGCCATCGTGTCTCTTGGTCAAAATGGGAGAAGAATTTAACACAATGGCGTGTCATTCTTCTACTTATGTAAGCCTGATGTTACAGTAGTTGTATTAGTTGTGGTGATAAATTGGCTTTTATCAATACGATTTGTTTCAGTTGCCCTTATCAAACGCCTTTGTCAAGTAAAGGAAGATGGATGGATTGAGCCACTTTACGTGTTCTGACAAACCTTCGTGTCAATTTACTTCGGAGACACTGTGTTTTTCGCCAACTTCCTCTGATCCATTCGTCTTCAACGTTACCTGTGTAACAAACAAACAAAACAAACAAAGCTTTACATCATACATCAGTTTGGTTCCCATTCCCATACTGAAGAGGGCGAATTTTTCGGTTGGGTGAACTATAGTTTGCTCACTGTGGGGATAATTTTCGATCACCATGAAACAATGCGTTAACGACTCGATGTGTCCCAAACAATTAAAGAGTTCTTCGTGAGAGCAAGGGATTGCAGATCGTTCCGTGATGTCCAGGTGTTGTGTGATAGTCGTGAGGACTAACAGACAAACCGTCTTTCAAGGCTCGGAACCAAGAGGTCCAGAGTTCGAATCCTGCCATGCCACCAATCTTGAGCCCTTGGGAAATGCACTTGACACGACTTTCTTCACTTTACTCAGGTGAAAATGAGTATGTCTGTTGTTCGCTCGTGCGTTTGTCTGTGTTGGTGGCGGCCTAAATATAAGTTGAAAAAAAACTTCAGTGTCCCGTCGCCATGTCTTGTAAGAAATATTGTGATAGAAAAATAAGATAAGCAGACACACAGTGTAATTCTTATCTGATAGTGGGAGGGTCTTCGTTTTAAAGGTTCTAATCTTTTGTTTTGATCTTTTGTCTGTCTGTAATTACTGGTGATGAAGACTCGCCAGTGTGAATGGTTTGCGAGCGGCGGTGGCTCACAGCTCACAGGCGCCGTTTTCTGAAGAACAGGTGTTACAGTTCATCCCAGAGATTTACGAGTTTCTGTACACACGTCAATCGGTCATTGAACTTTCTCAACAGATATCACTTCTATTTAACATATTTATATGCTATACAGAAGAGAAATCGTGTCATAGCAATGTGAAATGTAGTATTCCATCATAACATGTATTGAATGATAATCTTGGATTAGTACGCTAGTAGAAATAGCTTATATCTATTAAGTGTCATTTGCCATGCATTGTACCCGATGCAATTGTTGCGCAATAAACTTTGACTATGTATATCTGTGCAAAACAATACATTTAAAAATATATAGCAATCTATCTTATTTGATATCTGAAAAACTATAAGCAGAATTGTCAAATTGTCAGAAGGTTTTTTTTGGGGGGAGGGGGGTTTAGTCGAAGACCTTGGTTAGATTGATTGATAGGTTAGTAAATGATCAAACGTGTCCCGAGTTGCCGCTTCAGATCTGTAGCTTAGGTCATCTCAACGTTCCCGCCTCCATCGGCAACCTTTTAACAGATACCGGCGCCTCATTATGCACAATTACAGTGGAGCATAAAAACTTGACAGAATCCCGCATCAGGACAAAAGATAAGTCAAATCTGTCCTTAAAAAATAACAACTCCTGCACCCCCCCCCCTTCCGGCGCTGGTGCTGGTTTGTCCTATTTGTTGGTCAGAATGACAAATTCTGGTCGGCATGTGAGAAAGGGAGTCGCACGGCAAGTAACGTGGTCCTTTTTCCCGTTCAGATCATATCAAAATAATGAGCTGTAATTTCCAAAAAGACGTTTTCGCACCGGCCGTCTACATGGCAACGCATGCGTGACAACCGACTGGGGAACTCTCAACACACGAGACTGTGGGCCTTTTACCATTAGGATAGAATTGTCCAGATAGAGCCGAATAGATTCGATTTGATCCGGCTTTTACCCAGCTTTGATCCGGCTTCCACCTAAATCGAAGCGAATCCATTCGGCTCTATCCGGACTATTTTATCCAGGTAGAAAAAGGGTCTGCATTACTCTGTTTTAGAGTAGAGCTGTACACAGTAACAAGTCTACTGAGACTTCAAACTCCCCAAAACACCTGTCAAGAACACAATTGACCTTATCTATTAACGGAAATTGATCTCTGCCCAGGCTTAGCTAGAGCTGGGTGGGGATCATCTCAGAACCTGGGCTTCACGCGCAAACAAACAGTATTCTTTTCACCCCTTGGTCAAGAAGAGAGTGATTCACTTTTTATAATGAAGTCCAACCAAGTCAGTTCTTGCTTTCTACTTTGTTATTTTCCATGGCTTCTTCGGGCGTATCGAACACTTTTTATACAAATTTGTTCTGCCGATTTCCTTTTCCAAATACTGGAGTTATTTTGAAACTGTGGCCCTGAAGCACATAGCCCCAGGAGGAGGGTAATTATACTTAATAAGGGCCTCTTTCATTCAATTATATCATGGTATTTATTCAAGCCGTCGGCTCAGCCCAGGCACATTTGTAAGTTTGATCGGGAGCTCTTCGGACGTCTGTCACTCAAGGTAGGTCCATATCTCAATCATGTACCATATCTTTACTACAGTTGAACCCAGTTTTAAAACAATACACATTTGTACGTTATTACGGTACTGATAACTTTTACAGTCCCAAATTGGAAATTTGTGAGAAAACTCACTTCGTACTCACTCGCAATGTTGAAGAAATAAAACATCATTCTATCGAGGTTTAGTAAAGTCACTGTTCCATATACATACATGCTGCATCGTTACGTTTATTTCTGGCATAATTTTAACAATATTCTAATTAATTTCCTCCGTCGCCATTACAGAAAATTGACGTTCATTTCTTGCATCAAAAATCATGCAAAAAATCTGTTTTTTAAGGTTTATTAATAAAGAGGCATCTCTAAAGAGGTCAATATTTGTCAAAATTCTTCACTTTTTGGATGCTTTCTTATTTACAAATTTCTTCATTTACTTCAACCTTATAGCTTGCTTTACCCTCATTAGAATGTACTGTAAACGGTGCAATACTAGTTATAATATTCATCAAAGAGGAAAATTGCATCGACATTCCTATTACACAACCATAGTTACCTTAAAATGTTGCTTTTTCATCGTTTGTCCCAATCTCAGATGTGAGGGATACAGCACAATCGACATCTAAATACTCTAAAATGCAGAAGCGGAGACTAAAACCTTTCTTACTATACAATTGTCACACATAGTTACAATGAATATAACGTTGATATTCATTGGAATAATTTCATCGTGCTTTTGGTAATACAAATTTTGTAATTTGAAAATTGGACTCTGACTTAGACTATTTCACTGCAGAATAGGAAGGTGTTAAAATGACGAATTTGATTGATGAAATAAGTGATCTACAATGACAGCTATCTTTCATTGGAGATTTCCTGATGTGTCAAATGGAGATTAATTAAGCTGTTGATTGACAAACAATGTTTAAACGCTTCAGATATCGCAATATTTCATGTGCTTTTGACATGTGTATGTCAAGCCCTACAAGAACTATTTAGACAAAAAATAGGCTTGTATACTTGTATACCATGGGCTTTGAATGTGTATGGTGCATATGTATAGGGACAGCTTACATGTATATAAAAATGTCAGAGTATGGAGTCTACTAAAACAAAAGCAACACAGATAAAACAGACAACTTAAGAATTCATTTTTCGGGGTCTAACATTTCAGAACATAAACAGGTTTTAGCCTAGATACCACGGGTCAATGTACGAGTTTTGCCCGGGGCGGACTAGCAGCAGCCACCGTAACGTCTCCACAGCCGGGCCGCCGGACCCTAGCTGGCGGCACGGTCTCTGTCTTCTGTCACTCTTATCGACAATATCATCTCGTCTTATCTTAAACACCAGTCATATTGTTCTTTTTCAATTGATAAAGTGACAGATTAGCCTGATTCAAGTTAGCAGCATATAGTTCGGACAGTGAGTTAAAATTGGAAATGAACAGTGTTGAAATGTACTTTTTACTTTAGTCCGTCTGTCAGTTTGAGTTTATTGGGATTCACATTTAGCATACATGTACATAACGAGATATTCTTCCTGTGGTCCATTATAACACACAAAACGATACACAGGAAAATATACAAAACGTATACAGTCCTTCAGAAATGTAGAACATTGTGGCTGTAATATAAGGACGCTAGGAGAGAATTACGTCTCCTCCTATTGTCGACTGTTGTAATATGTGCTTATGAACGGGGAATTCTTACATAATGTCTTTACCCAGATTTTACAGTGCCAGTGAAATGTTTGGTTACCATAGGACAGACGCCTTTGACGCTACATGGCGCGAACAATGCTATTCTTTCATATCTCATAACTCCTTAAATAACATCATCCAACCTGTTCTCAAATCCGATGTAATCTTATGCAACAGATTCTTCCGCAATATCTGGGACCGTCTGTACTCATACTCATATTTTTAACTGTTTTTATTATGTGTATTTCTATTAGTATATTTTCTTTTGTATGGGTCATGGATGCCTGAAATAAAGAATAAAGAAAGCTGTCGTTCTCTTTAGGGACGTAACATGGAGCTCCTCAAACCCTGTAACACCAATGCCTTCGGAGGAGGGTTTAGTTCGGATGGCCCGTCTCCACTCGTGGGTTCCACCGCCTCGGGCGAGCCGCGAGTCTCGGCGTTCACCTCCGTGTCTGTGCCGGCCACCTCGCCGGCCACGTCCGCTACCGACGCCAAACTCACGGTCTCTCTACCGGGACACTCCATGCCCTGCATACAGTCACAGTTAGAGATGTATCATAGGTAAAGGTTTATCTTATTTATTCAATTTCCACAATAAACATTCATAATTGATAAATAAATAAATAACAAATAGAATCTCCCTATTGCAGTTTCTTCCACGGAAATTGAGCAGAAAAATAGCTTAAGGTTTGTCGTTGTTCATATTAACACATGTACCCTGTTATGAGATAGAGAGAGGTACAAAGAAAATAATACATCGCTTAATTAAAAAAAAACAATAAACTAGTAGTTCGAGGAATCAAAGTTTTAAATGTATTCCAGCCTCATTTCCCCAAGATATTTGTTTTGTGTTATGTTGGTTATCATAGGAAAATGTAGCTTTATGTTTAAATGAAAGCTCATCTGTGTTGGTAGAATCCATAGTTGTAAAGTTCAAGCTTTGTTCCAGCTTTATGTTGTTTTCTTCCGTTGTCGGTCAGATCAAAATAACATATTTTCTCGGTACTTCGTCCGTTAGGTCCTATCTCCAAGACAGCGGGTTCGGATCGTACTCGGACTTTAGTTACGGCGCCGGGACCAGTCTACCGGCACTGCCGCCAGGATACTGTGAGTTACCGCTACATTTACAGTAGATACAATCAGAAAACAGCAAAGTAATGGGCGAAAAGTCCAACCATGAATCCTGCATCCACAGTTTGCTCTTTTCCCCTCCTCTTAGCCCCTGTCACACATAGCTAAATATGGTTATAAAACTGCCGTGTATATGATGATCATGGATGAATGGAAAGACTTTTCTGTACATTCTACAACAAAATGGTGTTCATCCCCTATTCTATCTAGATGAGTATCATAATCTGCTCCGATGACTGGGTAGTTCTATAGGGAGGCAGGTGCTTCCGGATGACGTGATTCAGCTGCAGCAGGTGGTATGGCAGGAAAGCACCTGTCACACATCCATGATCATCACATATACGGCGGCTTTATAACTATTATCTTCATTAGACCATAATGGACGTTTCATGGCGTGATAAAGATATAAGTAAGATTGGGAATCATTTCACGATACGTGCAGACCAATAGCTTTTTCTGATGGGATTTTCTTGTAGGTTATAGTTAATACTTGTAGAATGCTTTGACCCTATATGAAGCCATGTCGTCCTTAGTATAACTCGTTGTTAACTCGTCCTATTATTAGTCCCGATCAGACGCCGGCGTAAGGACAGCAGACAGCGGCGGCAGAGAACCACCTTCACTACCGAACAGACTATAAGCTAGAACCCTGTGAAGTCGTGTTTTCCTTCCATACTATTACCTGTTGTTGCTCTCTCGTAGTCCCGATCAGACGCCGCCGTAAGGACAGCAGACAGCGGCGGCAGAGAACCACCTTCACTACCGAACAGACGATGAAGTTAGAGCTGGAGTACAACAGGACGGAGTACATCACAAGACCGAGAAGGTCAGTCAAATAAACTTTATTGCACGACAATTGCACATGGTACAATGTATGGCAAACTACATAAAAAGAGTAGCAAACAATAAAATGTGTTGAGCAAGACCTAATGTCGAATAAACCTAACAAATCTACATCATAATTATTCAAATAATAATGAGGCAGAAATCCAACGATATACTCTGTGTGCTAGGCTGTTGCTAGGACCAGTATACAGGCTAGTTCCTCGGCTCCAGGGCCAACATGTCGGCAAGAAAATCTTATGATGGCCACCGCGTAGTTAGACCCTGAGCAACTTTTATCACATTTAATTTCCATACTAACAAATACTGTGTCAACTTAAGATATTCATCAAATTTGGCATTTTTGTTACTCAGCGTGGCAGGTTACTGGAGGTCCTATATGTAGCCACAAGTACAGTTCGTGCTGTATTTACAATATCGTTGTGATGATCGTAGGTTTGAGTTGGCGGAAATGTTGAACCTGTCGGAAACACAAATCAAGATCTGGTTCCAGAACCGCCGTGCGAAGGACAAAAGGATAGAGAAGGCGCAACTGGATCAACAGTACAGGTAAACATGAACTACACTTCATGTATACAGTGTATCTCATACAGGATTCCTTGTATCCTGTATTCAGTTTTCTCCACATACGGTTACCGGTCAAATCATTGGTATTTCTGTTGTTTACACGTTGGAAGCACACATGACACACACAAAAAAGGTCCCGTTCCACTATGTGCACAGCATAGGGGTGGTGCCCATCTCCATTTCTGTAGCCCTTGGGCCACACAGTTGTGCAAGCACTACAGCAGGGGGCTAGCCTGGTAGTGTTGTGTGTTTGATCTTCCCATACTCTTTTTCATAGATGCTGAGTGCTAGGCAGAGAAAGCAGTATGACCCGGCCGGGGTTTGAACTCACGACCTCCCGGTTACAAAGCGAGCACTCTTCCCGATTGAGCAACTGCACCGGTTGCTCAGACTCAGTCTGTGAAGGAGTCACACCATAAGTCTTAAAACTAACAGTTCATGTCATTCCTCCTTCTTCTAAGGTTACTTTCCCCCACCGTATCACCTGAAGGAATCTTGTGGACAAAGTTAGGGTTTAGTACAAATATTCGGCTTCGTTACCTCTCAGGAGCGCGGCAGGAATATCAGAATGGGTTTAAGGAAAAATGTGCAACACAGATTCTACGGCAGATTGTGACAGAAAAAAATGTTTTTTATCAAGGCAACTATTCTAGCTATGTAGACTCTAGACCTAGCCGTGTGAAATGTTACGCTATGATGACACCAGTGTAAAATTACTTGATTATTAAGATTGTCCATAAATTCTATTAGATAACGCCACAATAGGAAGATCCTTCTCATTCCCGTGATCCCACCCCTCACTCATTACTGCACCTCTGGGAAGAGCGGCATGTACAAGGCCGACAGGGCCACCCAGTTTAAATAAAGGTGAATGAATGAATGAATGAATTCCATTTCATGGTGACAAGTATCTAGACATGCATGATTGTATCAGACGAACCCATTTACAAATTTAGATACCATACAGACTCCTTTGGAAAACTTGTGGTTTCACCGGTGGGAGTATTAATCCTGTGATAGAATTTGGCACGCCGGGATTTGATTTGCCCCACCACAGTGTCGTGGTGAGGCTAATCGATCTCCCATCGTGAAAAACCTACCGGGGAACCTAGCTCAGGCGGGCGGGGACGAGCTTCAGTAGCCCCGAAGAAAACCCGCCACAACCGCGATACCAGGTTACGGAGAGTGGGAAAGTGCGGCGGTTCAAAGCGGGTTTATCAGTCGTTCCCATCTTCTGCTGACAGACAATAGAGATACCTGAGGCGGTCGCTTCTTCTTAGATAGAAAAAAAACTGGGCCAGTTAACAGGTGGAACCGACGGTGACGACACCCTAAAAACATCCGAATGTGTAATTTCACTTACCCTTATTGTCAGTGATGTCTATCTACACTGTAATTACCTTTAAACGTTTGCCGTCGCAGTTATCCACTACAGCTGTCATAATGAACACATAGTCTTTAGAATCTGTCAGGTGGAACCCCAAGATGGCTTGTTGTGTGAACTATCGATGGTCTTTGTGTACTACTTCAAATGTCAGTATAACATTAACTTCATATCGTATGATATTAACCAAATTCAACAAGAAGGCTCTCAATGTTCTTTTGTTACTGTTGTTTGAATGGTTGTTAATTGCAAAATCTGGCACCTTTTTCTCTTTGCGTAGGTGCCTGGGCCTGCCGTCTCCCTATGCCCATGGATATGGCGGTTACTGCGGTGCTTGTTACTACCGAGAGAGGACCGGGGGCTCTGGCCTGCCGTGTACGGCCGGGCTTTGTGGAACGGAAGGAAACCATCACAAGTCCGCCAAAGCGTGATCATGTGATGATATTCGTCACTATTAAAGAGTTAGAAGTTTTAAAACGTTAACCAGAAAGGTAACATTTGCAAAGCGAATGCATAATGTTTACCTTCGCATATGGTCTGCTTTTTAATTCTTACTCAAACACATTCATATACATGGCCAAACAGGAGTCTAAATCCCTCCTGCTATAAAATTGCAACATGATGTTCCCCCAACACCAGTTACCATGGTGACAGACGTCTGGTTCAGGCAATTGACCATACTGGTTGGAGAAGAAGAAGAGGAGGAAACAGAGCAAAAACAATGTTTTCCTTCGGTAAACATAATACATCAATAGTACCGATATGGTAAAGCGTGCCTTCTGAATTGCACCTTTGTGGTCATCGTCATCTGTTTTGTGAAAATGCCTTCAGAATGTCGTCCGTATGTATATATTTATGTATGTTTAGTCTGTGTAACACAAACTTAGCTGTACACACATTCACTTTAAAACGTTTAGATGTTAGTTATGATAGAATGAAACGTCTATCGTGTAATTTGCTGTCATAATTCGGATAGGTGATGACTTCATGCATGGTCCTGTTGCTCATAACCTTTCATCGACAAAGTATTTAAACACTGAATTGGTAGATTACTGGTGAAACATGTCTGTGGAAATCTCTATATATGCCTGTATAGTTAGGCCATGTTGATTTGATTATATGTATGGCATCCGCGAGCGCATAGATTTTCGTCCGTTTCCAAAATAAACAACAATATGTTTTCCCTCGGTAACCATAAAAATTTTGATGTAAATCTTGAAGAAAAGAGGACACAAGTGACACAAGCGTGTGGAAAGATCCAACTTTGATGCACCGTAATCATAGATCTTTAACCAGATCTCCGGGATTTGCAGAGATACAACTGTGCATTGGAAGAGAGACTATGCTCCTGAGCCAGACTTTAGCATGCTACGCTTTTTAAATAGACCAAGAAAGAGCCACGAGATAAAAGTTGTTTACATACTATACGTACCAACAATTCAACTGGAATGTATATAGTACTCAGGTTTGGAAACAGTGTGTAACTTCAACTGTGACATGAAATTGGAGACGTCATATGTTTGTGTAGTGTTTTGTGATTTTCGTTTTCCATTCATTACTGTGTATCTCCGGTATCAATACATCGCGTTGGATAATATTTAACTATTGTCACATGCCACTAGAACAATCCAATGTGATTATAAGACAAACATTAGTAATTCTATTATCTCTGGCCTAGATCAGTGTGTTCTCTCCTGCACTTATCCACACAAACACTGCAGCTTCCTGGGCCATTGCGTATCTGTGTGTGTGGAAGACCAGCGGGTTAGATGGGATTTCCGTGCACTTTAGTGTTGTTTACTCTGTTGTTTATGTTATTATGGGTAATTGTTGGAAGCTGACAGTTTAGTATCATGCAACATGGGCGGTCTGTCACACATGACCTCCAGCCGACCATGACCTCCATACTCAGACTTTATAGACGACGGTTGGGAGTTAGTCTTGAGCAAGGTCACGTTGCGTTTGGTTGGGAGTATATCGTCTAAATTGCCTCTTGGTCTCAAAAAAGTTTTCCGTACCAGTCAACTGTTCAATATATTTGCAAATCAACGTCGGGAAAGTCACATTCAGCTTGGATGCGATCAGCCGAGCTGGAATAGGCTGGATTCCAGGCTACTCCAAACCCAGCAGGGACCTTGGTTGGGGAGTGGTCGCGAACAAAGTCGTGGGAATTCGAAGGTCCTGAATTTGTGACGGCGGCTTAAGACAGCATAACCTGATCATCATGATATTTGTATGTCCAACCCAGGGCTCTAGCCAGCTTAAAATTTTTCGTGGTCCAACCACTGGATCCCAGATGTCTTTCTCGTCAGGAGAGCTAGGGGTCGCGCATGTCTTGATGACAGAATTTACTACCTGTGTATAGCAAGCTCAGTAAGGTTTTTATTCGCTACATCCTGAAGATTTTATCATTCTCGTGTTACTGGGAATGCCAGATAGGGCTTATCAATTGTATTTTTTAACATACTGGGAGGCGGGGTAGTTTCAACATAGCCTCTACCAGACGGCCAAATAACAGCATCTGCCAAATAACAGTATCTACAATACAATCTACTCTGAAAACCATACTAGAAATCAACTTACGGTTTCAGACGACTTCTTATGAAATTTCGTCGTCGTTTCAGTGAAAGTTTCCCCAGCCAGACTAATACTGAATTGATTGGCGTGAATTTTCTCTAGACGTATTTTGAATTAATCTAAACAGATTTTATTCATAGAAAACTAGGCTATCGCAGCGCATGCAATATGCATAGTAAAAACACAAACGAACAAGTGTTAGATTAGTTAGATTGAACCAAGCAAATCCAATCTTCTTTTGAAACGCTATTAATCGAAATACAATATTGGCTAGACTATTAATAATTCAAAATTGGCAAAGAGATTGTCTACTGACGTATTTTCAATTAATTCATGTCAGACTCTCTATTAAAAGGCTGCAAGAACGCAGTACAGCACATCTGAAAAACAACTGTTTTGTTAGGTTTAGCAAGGGAAAGATCCATAAAAACTTGTTTGTGAAGCATCATACCGTTCGGCTTGAGAAAGACACTAGTATGGCGAGCATGAAAGAAGAAAGAGAAACAGCCAGCCACACCGGGAACACTGTGGAGGACTTCAACAGTGATTCATCCATTGTACACTTCGCTGACAACGAAAAACGTTATATTGATGGTAATGACGAAGTAAGTGTAGTAGTACCAACTATTAGCTTTTCTAGCACAAGCAGCTCACAAACTAATGAGAATCAACAAATTTATGCCGATGAAGAATCAGCAAGGTCAGAAAACCTCCCGTCAAGAGGCATTTACATTGCTGACAACAATGAAGCAGAGAATGTAGTGACCTACCAGGTAGAGGATACCTGCCGTGAAGAAGCATCTGTGAATGCTTATGAATGTGGAGAAGACGTGGACGACGTTACAGAGAACGACAATGCAACGGACACCGACATTGATGGTACTCAGCCAGAGAATGTCCTCAACCAACTGGAAGATGATGCCGAATCGGTACATGACGTCTGGCCGTGTATCAGTCCGTATGCAGTCGCATACAGTCAGTATGGCCTCACCGCAGCTGACAGGACTGACCAAAGACGACATGACGACATTTATCAACCATATGCTGTTGTATATGAGGAACAGGATGGCCCCACCGCTGACCAAGCATCAACCAGCCGGCGTCGGTCCGTTCCCAATGCCCAAGGTGTCAGCACCAACGCAGCGTTTCCAAGTACCAGCTCTGGTAAGTCAACTTTCACGTAGTTAGAAGTTGACAAAGATTAAAGTAAGGAAGATCCTGCATCCCTCACTACTGATGTTTTCTAGACAGTTATTTTGAACCTGCTTAAATTGTGTCCATATGTACGAGTATCATTATTCATGTGTGTATTGGAGTTCAAACCTTTTTTAAAATCTACTTTGAACCTTCTCAAATTGTGTCCATATGTATCATGTATTTTTGGAGTTCAAACTTGTCTAAAATCTACTTTGAACCTGCTCAAATTGTTTCCATACGTATCATGTTTTTTTTTAGTTCAAACTTTACATGTACTCAAACTAGAGTGTGACGAATGAGGATGAAGATTTAGTAGAATTTCTAATTAGAAGCTATAGATTAAATGTGTTCACCAACGTGCTTGGATAGAAAAGGGTACCAGGCAAGGTAAGTATTTAAGATGAAATATTAAAGGTAAGCTAAGGTAAAGTGTACAAGGTAAGGTAAGGCATTAAAGGTAAGATATTAAAGATAAGATAAGGTAATAGCCAAGTTTGTACTCCTTATGCAGACGCTGATGGCGACAGGAAGGATGGGTTAACTTCCAACCCAATGTACGTCCCAAATGTGCCACAACCAAAGGTGGCTGGAGGTAGGGTGTGCGACCTAACGTTTTATTGTGTGGATCTGGTGTGACTTATCGTGCTGAAGTTGAGAATTGATTAGAATAGCCATTGTTTTCGCTGCTTGTTGCATTTTGCATTGTTGATTCTTGCCAGATGCCAGACATCACTTTATAGTAACGTTGCACAGCACTCATAGTTCACTTACATGTCTTTTGGAATTGGTTTCACGTCAGTATGTCTTCATACAATAGTTGTAAGATATGGTTCTTCACTTAGACAGAGGAATGACATGAATTCACATAGTCAGTAGTGGCCTGTTTATGTGGGGTCGTGTGGCGTAACGACAGAGCGTTCGGCTCGGAAACAAGAGGTCCCGAGTTCGAATCCTGCCATGCCACCGATCTTGTGCTTCACTAAGGTGAAAATGAGTATGTTGTCTGTGTGTTTGTCTGCGTTGTTGGCGGCATAATATAAGTTTAAAAAACTCGAGTGTGCCGTCGCCATGTCTTGTTGAAATAGCAAATAAAAAATAATGGCCTGTTTGGATTTTGTTGACAGGCCGCACTTTCAACCTATCGTGGACTCAGATAGCATGCATTGGGGCTATACATTTGGTCATCGGGGCACTAATAGTTTCAGCGATCGCATTTCCGCTGATCTTCACAGTAAAGGACCAACATGAAGACACCGACATGGAAACAGTAAGTTTTGCTACTTAGACCATGTTGATTTGATTATGTGGCTGACATCCGCGCGATTGAATCCCCCCCCCCCAAAGTTTTTGACCAAACTATAAATTGTACAAAGCAGCTGCAAAAGGAGAAAATATATGTCGTAAATTGCTAAGAAATATATTGGGCATCGATACAACCCGTCAATGTCGTAGAATGCCAAAATCAATTCCAAAGGAAAAGAAAAGAATGTGAAGAAATGAAAATGAAGAGCCTATTATTCAAAATACCATGTGTTTAGTCATTTGTCCAACATTCATGACCACGTAAATTTCATAATGAAGGCAAGTATATTTTTGATACACATTTAGACGTCCCCAGGTCCCCTATAAGCTTTTGTCGCACCAATGTGATATGCCCTCTTCGCGATCGTCTACCACAGATATTGCCGGATCCTGTCACAGAGAAGACGACTATTCAGTCCACAACACCAGTTAGAACACACCCCACCTGGCACATGTCTTCTGTACCGTACTCATCAACGTCTGCAGGTATGAATGAATGAATGAATGAATGAATGAATGAATGAATGAATGAATGAATGAATGAATGAATGAATGAATGAATGAATGAATGAATGAATGAATGAATGAATGAATGAATAGGTAAATAGTTTATTTCATCATATATTTTAATCGGATATGAAAAGTACATCGCAGTCATAGGCTTATTTGTGTAATTTTTTATAAATATTTAAAAACTGTTGACATTAGGCAATTTACCGATTGCACTAATCTTATCGTTCCGATGTTACAATAAAAATATTCTAAAATCACAAGAAAAACTTTACCTTAAAACAGGTAATTTTACTTATCCTTACTCAAAGGAATCGACTCCTAAATTTATTTCAAACATGTATAGTTGATTAATCAATGTTCCGGACCTTACTAACGGTTTTTTAGAATGTGCCCCAGGGGTAGGAGACAAAGAGAGTGAACCACCAATGAGAGTTGCGTTTGGTGACACTGGAAAGGCACCGGGAGAATTCTGTGGGCCAAACGGCGTTGTTGTGTCACCGAGAAACGAGATTTTTGTCACTGACAAGCACAACAGGCGGGTCCAAGTGTTCAGCATGAAGGGCGCCTACCTTCGCCAGTTTCCCACCGTCGTGTCAGAGAACCAGCTCGACACGATGAAGCCAGAGTGCATTGCCATCGACGCGGACTGCCACCTCTGGGTGGTCGGGAAAAACAACTCGTCCTACGCGTATGTCGTTCAGTACACGAAAACTGGACATCGCACAAGAACAATACAACCTTCATTCCCAAACAATACGTTCCATGGCGTTGCCGTGAACGCACATCGCAAGCATGTCATAGTAGCTGAAACCTGGAAATACTATGACACAATCAAGGTTCTGCTGTTCAATGGCACGGTTGTCCGGACGTTTGGGAAGTTCAATAGATACATGCCAATACGCATTGCCACAGACACGCAGGGAAACATTTTAGTGTCCGACTGGGACAGGGGACCCCACGTGCGTGTCTATAACGAAACCGGGCAGTATCTGTTCAGCATCGGCAGGAAAGGACAGGATTCTCCGTTTTGGCCGGTTGTTTCTCCGGTTGCTGGCATGTGTGTGGATAAGTTAGGACAGTTCATCATTGCCTTTGGGGACGACGGGAGCTGTGCACTGTTCTCATGTGTGGAGCTGTACTCACCTCGCGGGGAGCACGTGCGTCCCATCGCGACCAACCTGACCAGTGCGTACGGCGTTGCCGTGGGTCCGGACGGGCAGCTGGTAGTCGCCAGCTGGAGCGATGACATGGTAGTCGTCTTGCCAGACTACTAGCCTGATTACAGCACGTTTGCAGCAGCCCTTCAATTTATCATGCGCTGAAAAACTTGATGGCTAACACCTGGGAAGAATTGAGAATATATCAATCTTTTGATTGATTGCTAAGATGTACCAATTATTGTCAAAATGATAACTGCGTGTTACCATAGTGTTGGAGGCTTTGATGACTGATTTCTATAGTGACATAGAATCCTGAGCTCCTATTGGACTGATTTTCATTATTACTTATTAAAGAACTATGAGCTCCTATTGGTAGTTCTGGGATTAGGAATATCATATCGAGTTAGAGCCTTAAGCTACTAGTATCTGTACAGTGATCTGTACTGCCCCTGACAGTGAGAGATTGTGTAACACAGATTACTGCACTATTGATACTGTGAATGTTACCTTGTGATGAAAGTAGCTTTGTAAATAAAAGTCCAACTTCATTACCTTCGCCAAGAAGGTTATGTTTTCAGTAGCGTTTGTCTGTGTGTGTGTGGGTGGGTGTGTTTGTGTGTGTGTGGTTTAGCAAGATAACTCGAGAAGCGGTGGATGGATTGGAATGAAACTTGGTAGGTGGGTAGGTCTTCATGAGACCTAGAAGTGATTAGATTTCGGACCCCCTGGCGGCTTTCCTAGGTACTGCAGCAGAACTTCCGGTTTTGATATCTCGTGATCTGGACATGCTAGGGTCATGAATTTTGGATGGCAGATAGCTCTTGGGATAGAGAAGAAGTGACATGAGTTTGGGTCCCCTAGCGCCTTGTTCTGGAACTGCAGGGGCATTTGTTGAAAAAAATTCGAAAGACGATAACTCAAGAACCGGTTGACGTATTGTCGTGATTTTTGGTATGTAGGTAGTCGAAGTGATGCTTGACATAATCCGATGGCAATTATGCAAATCAGGACTTAATTGGCATAATTAATGAGGAAATTCTATAAATCTGCTTTGTTCAATAATAGAACTATGAAACACTTGTGACATCTACTTGAGAACGAGAAAAACATCTGAGGATATAGATTATGTAAATGAGGACCTAATTTGCATAATTAATGGCAAATTCTTATAATTCCATAGTTGTAACTGCTGCACCCCGAATTTCATACTTGCCACATTTGGAAGTTAAGTGAAGGTGAACATCCATAAACATAATTTATTCAAATCATGACCTCGTTTGCATAATTTATGAGGAAGTGCTATAATAGCCTTTTTGTTATGATAAGGCCGTCATTGGATGGAGAATATGATCAACTGATATAATCCATGCAAATGAGGCTCTTATTTACAAAATCAATGATTAAAATTGTATAATTCGTCACCCGCAAGGGTTAACATCATTTGGCGAAGGTATGAGATCGTGGAACTCTTGTTTTACCTGTTTTCCCTAAATTTGATCGTAATCAAAAGGTATACTATAGATAACGTTATTGCATATTCATGTCTAAAGAGTTAAACGCACATGACTACATGCAGTCTAATGGACCTAAATCCTGACACACTAAAGTACAATGTATTATACACTCATATATATAAGTAAGTAAATACACTAATATGTACTAATAAACACAATGCACTAGTGTGTGTGTTTGAATGAATCTATGTGTGTAATCGTTTCTTTTCTGTTTTTAAAACGCATGGAAACATCTCCAGAGCAGGCAATGTAGACCAAAATATTACATGCAAATCTTATAGAGGGAGTTCTACTACCCAGGCGTAACTTGATGTGGCAGATATTGTTTATTTATATATTGTATAAATAACCAACAGATATTAGAAGTGTGAATTCGCTTTATACTTTTGATTATGCAGGTTAATAAATACAATATGGACACTTATTTTAAATGTTTTATTGCAAATTCTTGCCCGAGGGCTAATTGTAGGAACAGAGGAAACACATGGTATGAAAACAGACATTTAGTACACATAGAACTACTAAGAAACTACTAGTAAAAACTACTGGGTTTGAGGAAGACAAAGCAAAGGATCCCACTTAATCTGTAGTTTGTGGGTTTTCGGATGTTAAGAGGAGAGTAGTTTTCTTTTCATTTGTTTTTGTCTGAAAAGTTGGGTAGATTTGGAGGCTACGTCAAAGAGCTCATTTCTTTCATTGCTACAGAGGGTACAATTTGAGATAAAATGCGTTATATCGTTATATTATATCGTACTTCATACGTCTTACATTCATGATCACGCATATGTGAAGGCATCAATGATTTCTGAATGCGTTGCAGTATTTTAAATGTCACATTGCGTGACATCTCTCAGCCTAGCGACACACCGGCGTATGACAGCGTAGGTGGTGCACGGCAATCCTAGATCATGACAGGCCCGGTGTCACAGCGATATCGCTCCCCAGCGATTTCGCCCTCCCGGAATTGCTAGCGATTTCGCGAAATAACGGTGGTGGGCGTACACCATCTAAGTACGCAAAAGGGTCTATGGGCGTAAAAGAGAACATGCTTCTTACAAAGTGAAATATGTGTTATCAACTGTGTTATAGGGGACTTTATTTATGCACCATGTAATCAGATATATGACAATTTTCATAAATAATCAGACATTTCAGACAATAAGAAATGAATCAATACCTTGTGAAGATCTTCTATTTTCTTCTCAATTTAAATCACAAAATCTAAGGCCTACGATATCGTCTCGTATATCAGACAAATACAATTAACGAGTGGCTATGGGAATGAATAACAAGGCTGACTGCACAGTCTTCACATGAAACTGGGATCTCGAATACGTCTATCAACCCTATCTGGCGACATCTAGCTTGTTTTACAGTAGAAAACCCTTAAACCCTTTTTCGAAGCATGCAAAACTCTTAGCATAGTATGTATGGCAACTTGCAATTGTATGTGTTTTTGCATTTTATTTTGTTTTACACCACCTGCCCGTTTTATATCTGTTTTGCATTAAAAAAACTTGACAACGCTTTTATCATTTTTTTCAAATTTGTTTCCAGGGTGCCATAGTTGTAATGACATTGATTGAGGTTGCAGTAACTCAGTATCCGACCTTTTTATCAACCTACATGGCAGCCAGAATTACCGTACCGAGGTCTTTATTACATCACATAAAACGAAATTGCTGATAGCATTACGTAGTGTCAGACACTGACTGGTAGATATTACCAGAATAACCAGCGCCATGGTTCTATTACATTGCTTTTGTAAGGGTAATAGAGCTCTGAGAAAGTTGGAAATCCAAGCTCATACATATCTTATTTGTGTATTCGTTGAAACGGCGGAAATGTGTTGCATGCATAAGATCACAGTCATATGAAGTGATGCGAAGAGATTTGATTTATTGAATGTGTCAGGAAGACCATAGAGAAGCCATAAAACAATGCTAAAATGTCTAGTCTTCTAATTTCCTGCCTGTATTTGTAGATAACTTGAGTTCGTGCCAAACGCCATCTACGGCACTAATGTCTAGCCTGGATGCCAGACATACAGCATGCTAGGCTGTGTGCCAGACAAAGATACCAGTTTTGTCTGGGGAAGACGTGTGAGTGTTCCTAAGGGTTAACTCAAGGGGCCTGTGGTGTAATTTCCTCGGGGGCATGTTGGCCCTGGAGCCGAGGAGCTGGCCTGTGTAGACCCGGGAAACAGTCTGACATTCAGGCTAATACTCCGCGACTGTCCCCGGATCTGGCAAGATCCACTAGGCCGTAGAGAGATCTGTTAACTCTCGGAATAGATATCATCCTACTGAGGTCAACATCACCTGACACCCATCCCAGCGTGGTCCACGTGGGACTGATAGGAGAAAGATAGGACCGCAAGGTCCACAAAGGCCACCTGTGCAATTATTCCCCGAGAATCTTGGGATCATAATGTGGTGTCATATACGTCCAAACGCACATGACATCTTCGTAAGTTTTAATTGAGGTTAAAGCTTAACCACGTCAGTTTCTTGGCATCGGGTGCCATCAAAACCAATGAGCTCGGTGCCAGACAGCCTACAAAAAGGGATTAAAAATACCAAGCAATATCTTTTTATATAATACAAAGGAGTAATAAAATGGAGTAAAAGTCAAGTATGAAAACGCCCCTCGGTATATTGCAGGGTTTGGTGAAGGGTGGTCAGAACTCAGGTGTAAGATTGTCAATGAAACATATGTACATACCTGTATGGATGGATGTGAATGATTATTCTGAGATAGGAGTCAGTGTTATTTCTACCTCTTTCATTCTGCTTACTCGTTGTTCTAGGACCTTTTTATGTTTACCGAAGGAAAACATATTGTTTTTGCTCTGTTCTGACTTCTTCTCCAAACCAGGAAGGTCAATGACATGAACCAGACGTCTGTCACCATGGTAACTGGTGTTAGGTTACATCATGTTGCAATTTTATAGCAGGAGGGATTTAGACTCCTGTCTGACCATATATATTAATATGTTAGAGTAAGAATTAACAGAGCAGACCATATGCGAAGGTTACCTTTCTGGTGTAAGCAATGTTTTTTTATATCACTTTCGGTCCACTTGCAAACTTAGTAGAGGGAAAGGTACTGTTGAGGTACATAGTGACCATACGCTCTGTTCCTAGGAACTGTAGGATAGTTTTAATTCAGACAAATTACCTTTGGTGGTGTCTGCAGCTTACTCAGCCGTTTCTGCATTTTTGCTTACAGGTCTTGTTCCTTAATTAAGACCGAAGACCAGCCGTATTTATGACCCGCTGTCTCCGATTTTTACAAGCACAGGGAAAGGTGTGGTGTTAACAGGCCTGGAGACGATCGTAAAGAGCGAGAAACACTGGCCGATAGTACATCATTCTCCACCGGGGACTCACTTGTTCAAGTGCGTGCAAAATCAAACTGACGCAAAGTTGGCATCAGAAGCATCTGATACTGTATCACATTTTACTGTTGTAATGTTCCTAAGGGCAGCAGCAGTCCTTGGATAGAACATCTTGTTCCTCTTCACAGAGTTGGGATGAAAGCTCATAGTTTCAATAAACAAGTGAAAAGCACATCCAAAGTTTAGTTACAACATCTGAT